ACCTGCATGCCAGCCAGCGTCTCTGAGGTGGGCCCTGGATTTAATCCCTGTTTTTTCAGGACTGACACAGCCATGAGTAGCATTGGCAAGATGTGTGGCTTGTCAAGGAGACTTAGAGGCTCCCACTGCCAAAGCAGCAGTGGGAAATGGGATGTGAAGGGCCAGTTCTCCCCTGTTCCTTTCCCCCAGACCAACCCTACAGCCCCACTGGAGCTCTTGTTGTGGACCCCACCACAGCAGGAGGAGGGGGGCAGGATGGATCCACAGCAGGGCTGTGGCCATCAAGGCACAGAGCTCTGGGTGCCATCACGACATTCGCTAGGTGTCCTCCGATCCCTGTTCTGGCACATCCAGGGAACAAAAGCTCTTCAGAGCCTGTGGGCTGATAATCACTCCTTGTTTCAGTGCTGGGGTCCTCCCCCTGTCCCTTGGGGAGCTGAAGCGCAGAGATTTCTCAAAGTCAGACAAAACAAGACACTGGAGGCTGGAAACCCTCATGGCTTTGTTTTCTCTTATGCAAAACGATACTCCAGAGCTGGGCAGTTATCCCCTATTCCTAGTGTCTGGGAGTGCTGCGGGGCCGATCCCTGCTTGTCTCTGTGTTCCAGCAGTCTCTCACTGTTCTTCCCACATATTCTGCCTGTCCCCAGGAGTACCTGACACCCCCACACCCCTTGGGATGGGGAGCTTTGGGGTGCTGTGTGGGCTGCATGTACTGACTGGTGTCCCCAGAGTGGTGCAGGCTGGTCCCCAAGCCATGCTGTGGGGTGGATGTGGCCATGGTGGTGTGGGGTTTGGCAGGGCTGTGGTGCAGCCTTTCTGAGCAGGTGGAGGTGACAGGCTGTGATGTAATGCCATAGCTGGAGTGGCAGAGGATGCACTGGGACTCCTCTGTTGGGGGGACAGCTCTTGCAGGGCTGTGCTGAGGAGTGGGGTGCTGGCACAGCCATGCTACCAAAGCACCCTGCACCTGGACCTTCCCTGTGCCAGAAGGCTCCTGTCCCCATGGGGGCTGTGGTCCTGTGAGGACCCTCTGCCCGTGGCATGGCCGATCCCAGCAGGGCACACTGCCAGTCCAGCCCCTGGTGCTTTCCTCTTGTGTCCATTTTCCCACTTGTAAAGGGCAGCCCTGGCCTGCTCAGGACTGCCTGACTGACTTTTGGAGCTCGACATTTTCTTTAAAAGAATTTTATGCTCAGGCAGTGTGCAAATGTTGCTCAGAGCCCCAGAAGAGCTGTCACGTGTTCCTGTGGCATTGCACTGCCCTGGTCTTGGATTTGGGATCAATGTGGGACAGGCTTTCTGCAGGCATCACTTTGTCTATGCAGGGTGCTTTGGTGAACCTCTGGCAGCTGGAGTAGCCCCACGGGAGCTCCAGGCTGTAGATGTGGGCAGAGGCCCTTGTGAGGGAGAGGGGAAGAAGGGATTGTTTATACCTTGATGCTGCCAGAGACAGCAGGAGAGCTCAGTGCCTGCAGGGTCAGGCCCTCTGTGGTTGGTAGGGCAGGGGCCTGGCTGTCATGTCACTGCAGTGCCCAGCCAAGGGCACATTTCCTTGGCCCCACACAGGCCCCCCAAGGAGACCTTGGGCCTGGCAAGGGGCTGTGCTGTCCCCAACCTGTGTGTGCTCCTGTTCCTGGGCATGCTGCAAGCAGAAGTTGAGAAGCTGCCAGTGCTGATGATGCTCATTTTACTGTCTGGGAGTTCCGTTAACCTGGTGTTAACTTCATTAACTTCCTTTTAAACCAGCAATTAACTTGGCCGTGGCTGTTGGTCCTGTGCCCACAGCTGCTGTCTGTGATAACTGGGATGCACCCTCCAATGCACAGCCTTGAACAGGGAATGAAAAACTGATTCCACCCAAAGACTGTGAGCTTTGCTGGGAGGCTGAACTACCTGGGTTGGTCCCTGGCCATGCTGTGAGAGGACATGGGGCTCAGCACCTCCATCCCCAAGATATGGGGGACCCACTAGAGCTTTGTACTGGAGGGTAGTGGCAGCTCTGCAGCTGTGAGGGTGTCCCAGCGACTCCCAGTTCAAACTGGGCTGATGGAAGGACCAAGGGCAGGGCCTTAGTGCTGCTCCAGGCTCTGAAACTGCCCCCAGGGACACCAGAACCACAAGTACCTGCAGAGCCATGGGGCAGTGCTACCCTTATGCCTTTTCAAGTGTGATGCCAGAAATGAGCTCCCCACCTTGCTGTGAGCACTGCCTGGGACCTGGGGGCTTTGGCTTGGGAGGGGTGTGTTAGGTTTTCACATTTTTCATTTTTTTCTAGGATGTGCTGGTTCCTGGAGCTAAATGGCTCAGAGCTGACTGCAGTTTTTGTCTCCAAACAGACATTGAGCGCCCAGATGTGAGGTCCTGACTCCAGAGCAGGGAGTGAAGGAATCGGGGACGCTGTCCTGGTGTGAAATACCTCACAGCTCTACCCTTGGCTGCATCCTCTCTCGGTTTGGGGTGAGGACAGCAGCAAGACCCTGGGGAAGCTTCGTTTGTCCCATCTAAAGAACAACCCCAGCACCAAACCAGCGTGGGTGCAGCTTGCTTTCTCTCCTCCCTGCCTCAGAAGGCCCTCGGTGAGGCTGGGCGGGTGATGGGGCTGCGAGGTACCAACAGAGCTGGTCTGTGAAACTTGGCCGGGAGCACAGAGGGAGATTGATGTTTGCTCGGGTGCTCAGCCCTCAGCTGCAGGCTCTGCCCGCCCCTGCACCAGCTGGGGACAAAAGCCCCGGCCCCGGGTGGCACTGCAGGGCTGGCGTAAGCCCCCCAGGACAGCTGGCAGTTCTGTAAGGTTGGCGTCCGCCCAGCGAGCCGGAGTGAAGGGGCCGAGTGGCCACGCAGGGAGGTTTGCCCTTGGGATGCTGCACAAGCTCTGGTGTCTGAGCTCCACTGCAGAGCTGAAACCCCCCCGGCCCCACCTCTGCCTCATCCTGGGTCCTGTCCCCTGGCTAAGCCTGGATGGGTGGAAAGGGGCTGGGGTGACTGTGGGGGGCACCTCACAGAGCAGGGTGGGGAGAGAAAGTGATGAGGGCTGAGGACTTGCAGGGGTCTCCTGCCCAGCACTCCTGGCATTTCCCACGTGGGAGTTAAATGTGACAGTCATCAATTATGTTTAAAAAATCACCCGTGGAAAGGTTATGATATTTGTACGGGTATAGTGGTGGGTCAGGGCTCCTGTCCCCACAGGGCAATTGTGCTCTTGTCCCCTCCCCACACTGTGAGTGGGAGCTGGCTGCAGTGTTCTTGGCAGAGACAAATCCCCAGCACGCACCACTGAAAATCCCAGAAAGCTTTATTTGCGTAGGAAGATCGATGCTGTTTAAAAACCCACCACTGCTGGAGGCTAGTGTGGCCGCCCAGTGCCTGTGGGTGCTGCTTGGACACTGGTACCTCCCTGTTTGGCACTGCCTCGGGTGCTGCGGGAGTCGAGGGTGCCTCCAAATGGGGCCTCCCCAAAAGCAAGTCTGGCCTGGACACAAGGTGGGGCCCCATGGGGAGCCCCATGGCAGGGGAGGCATGCACAGTGCTGGCAATGGGATGGAGCTGGCTCAGCCTGTCCTTGTGGGTCCCTCAGTCCCCTCATGGGGTGGCCTGGGGCCAGTTCTCTGCTTGTCCCATCTGTGAAATGGGTGCATGTGGCCGAGTACTCTGTGGGACTCCAGGGGCTCAGAGGGGCTAGATGATGCTGCCAGTCAGTCCTGCGAGGAGGAGGGTGATGAGTGATGCCTGAGGAGCCAGGCCAGGGATCACAGCGGGGATTTCTGGCTGGGTCTGGTTTCAGAAGACAGTGCTGGCCTCCTGCCCATGTCCCCCTGCCGTGCAGGGTCCATTCTGCCATGGCAGGTGGGTCACTGGAGCACTTGCTGTGCCAAAGAGGCACCACAGCCTTCAAGGAAAGGGATGAAATTTTCCATCCTGCCCTGCTTGGAAGACTCTGGGCCCTCTCCTGCACCCATCGCCATGGGGCTTGCTGGGCTGAAACCTCCTCCAGGCTGACTGTGGGCAGAGGGAAAGGAGAGCATCACCACACTCCTCTCTGGAGGACTTAAACATCACCTGCTGCTTTTATTTCCTGCAAAGCATGGAGGGTATCCAGGTCTGGAGGGCTGGAAGCTTTGCTGAGCTTGTCGCATCAGGGTTCCAGTTGTTCTCCTCTCCAGTGGAGGAGTATTAGGGGTGAACCTGCCCAGGGGATGCTGCACCCAGATGCTGGGCTGGGGAATGGGGCAATTTTCACCTCCATCTCTCTTCTTGGCACAGTGGTGCTGCAGGAATGCAGCCATCTGGGGATGCCACCATTCACCCTGCTCCTCCAAAACGATTGTCCAAGCTTTCTCCACTGCTTTCATCCCAAAAAATCTCCCTTGGAAGATGGGCTGTGGGCCCTACCCTGCTGATAGTGAAGTGCTATCTCCCCAGTGCCAAGTGACTCCCATCTGCGACTGCAGTGGCCATCTGTGCCCCTTCAGTAGGACTGAGCTTGCCTGCTGCCTGCCTTAGGGCTGGCGTTTCCTTGGAGCAAACAGAGCCTCCCTGCCACATCATGCCTGCAGCCCTGGGCAGTTCTGAGCTCTGCAGGGAGGGCAGCATCCCCTGCCTGCTATTTTGCTGTGCATTGGAGCTGGCTGGGGGTGGTCCTGTCCATTGCTGGGCAGGGGGCTAGGGGGCCATATGGGACCCCGTACAGTCCAGGTGCAGACAGGGGTGCTGCCTGCTTTTTTCTGCAGCCAAGCTCCAAGCCAGAGGAGAGGACTGCAGCCTAATCCCTGGCTGCTTGGGGCCCACAGCTCAGTGATGCAGGCTGGAGAAGCAGCAGCCTAACATGGTAGGTGTGGACAGGGGGGGGGTATTTTTCTGGAAGAAGATTTTCTGGAGGAGTTTCTGGCCACTGGCTGTGCCAAAGTACCCAGGGCTCTCCTGTGCCCCTGGAAACCCAGAGCTTCCCCAACAGCAGAGCATTCCTGGGGAATAGTTGTTTCTCTGTGCCCTGACAGCACAGCATCCCAGGGTACCTGGGGATGACACCATGCAGGAAGCAGGAGGGGTCCCTCTCTCCAGCTGACCATGGGGACCTGTGATTGTTGATCCCCCCACTTTGCACCACGGAATCCAGTGGGACACGGGGGCTGTCACATGTCCAGGCTCCGAGGCCCAGCCCAGCTGTGCCATTGCTCCGGGACAGAGGGAAATGTAGTTCTGGCTGAGCTTGTAGCACCTGGGCACACTGTGGGGGGGGGTCACACCAAGAGGCAGTCATACTTTTCCAGCCTCAGGGCACCAAGTGGATGTCCTCTGAGCGCAGCACTTTGTAAACGACCCAGTAGAAGATATTGAAGACCAGGAAGGTGAAGGGGAAGACGGCTCGGGAGATGGTGTCGATGCGCTTGGCGCGGTCGATGTAGCGCCTGCGGAGGCTCTCCCCTTCCCGCAGCACAGCGCTGGCTGGTGGGGGGCTGTACACGCCAGGGCCCTCCCCAGCCCCCTCCTTTGGCTGCAGGCAGTGGCCCAGCCCGTAGCCTCGCAGGTAGAAGCGGCTCTCGCGGCTGAGCTCTTCCTCCTGGCGAAGGGAAAGGCCATCAGCCAGGGCACCCACGGGTGCTGGTGCTGCAGGGCTGAGGCTGCACATCCTACACACCCTGTGGTGCTCGGTGCTGGGTGCCTGTGAGAGGCTGGGTTTTTTGTCAGAGAACCCCAGCCAGGCAGGCAGGAGCACGGGGCCGGCAGTGCTGTTCACAGGGTGCGGAGTGAGCACTGAGCCCCTGCCTTCTCATCCAGCATGTGTTTCAGGGTGCATCCAAAGGCAACCCCACCCTGACAGCCCGACACACATCCCCCCAGCTTCCTCCCAGCGCCAGCTCTGGGGCTTGGGAAGCCTGACTGACAGCCAGAGGGATGGAAGGTGAACTGGTCGAAGGGGCACATAGGGGTGCAGGGTGCATTTGGTGCGGGGAGCTGAGGTGTGCAGGCAGTGCTGTGACCGTGCTGTGTTTGCTGTGGAGTGGGAGTGTGACTGTGATGGTGAATAGGAGGGTACGGGCAGCTCGCTGGGGCAGAACAGGGCAGGGATGCAGGAACCTGGCTACCACCAGGGTTTGCAGGGCACCCAAGCCCCTCCAAGAACCCAGGTCCTCATTTCTCCCCATGTCTGCTGGGCAGAGACTGCCTGTTGCAGCAGAGGAGGGAAGCAGAGAGCTGCACTCCTTGCTGGTCTCTCCTGCCCTTGCTCACCCTCTTTCTCCCGTTGCTGGCAGAGGGCTGCAGAGAGGGCAACGTGCCCATGGAATCGCATGTTCATCATCAAGGCTGCAAAACTACCGTGAGAGCCTCTGGCTGCAGCCCAGTGCCATTGTTCAGGGCACCGATTGGGTGCCTCAGGGGCTGGCCAGCAGTGCCTGCACTCCTGCCATCAACAGCTGTGCACTGTTTCCCACTTGCCTTGTCCTGCTCTTTTAGCCTTGGAGAGAGTTATGTGTGCAAACATTTGATGAAGGATAGGCATGTGCAAGCACAGGCTGCACATCTGGCTTTTTGCTGAGCCCCTGGACTCATTTGGTCTCTGTGGCTCAGCTCAACTCCCCTATGCCTTTGCTGGTGTTGTATCTGGTTGTGATGGGTCCCTTCATCCAAAGCCTGCTGCAGGTCAGTGCCTCACTTTGTATCTGGGTGCTGTTTGGGATCCCAAACACCATCTCTTGGCCAGCACCGCCCTCCAGGACACAGAGGCTGCTTGCTGAGGTCAGCCCCTGCAAGTGCTCTGCTGGCACGGGGGCTCTCATGCAGAGTTTGTACCCTGGCATCTTTATTTAACTCAGCAATCCACAGGCTAAGCAAGATTTTACAGTGGGAAGAGCAGCAGTTTTTCAGATTGCTGAGGTTAGTTCTCATTTGCAGTACAGTTTTATTTCCCTGCCTCAGGCTGAGTGCCTGCAGCCACTCTGGGTGGAGAGAGTTGGAGTGCTCTGTGTGCCCTGGGGACCAGCAGCTACTCCCCCAGCCCGGGAAGCCAGCAGGCCCAGCCTGTTCCTGAGCGTGGATTTGGGTGATCTGTGGGAGGGATTTGCCCTCAGGCTATGAAACCTGGGCTTTGTTTTCTCAGGCACAGGAGCTGTGTGTAGTGGGGCTCTGCTCCCCTCTCTGACTGAGCAGCACCCTGAGGTGCTCCTGGCTGTATCCAATGCTGTGCCAGCCGCACCCTGGGGTGGCTCTGCAGCCTCCATCTCAGGGCAGCTGCACTTGGATGTGTTCTAAGCCAGTGGATGGTCCTTGGGTTGGACAGAGCCGCCCTCTCCCTGCCCTGGCTCGGTGGGTGTTGATCTCCAGGAGTCATCTGTGAAAGGCAGGGTGCAAAGATGCCTCTCCTGGCATCCAAGGGCTGGTGATGGTATAGAGGAGGTGAGGGTGACCAGGCCTGATCTCCTCCCTGGAGCTGCGGTTGACCCCCTGCATCTCCCCAACATCCTGGGAGCTTGCCCTGCCCCACACTTCTTCCTATGCCTCAAGCTGCAAAGTGCCCGTGTGCCCTGAGCAGCTGCCTGTGCTGGAGTGCTTCGAACCTGCCTGCAGGGAGGCAGAGCCCTCACCCTTCCAGAGGTGTGGGCATGGCTGGGGAGCTGGGCAGCAGCCCAGGAGCAGCCATCAGTCAGCCCCGGCATCTCTCACCCTCAGTAAAGGGGACTGTGCCAGTGCTGCTTTACAGAAGGGAACCCAAGGCACGGAGTGGGGATGTCTCCAGGGAAACCTGCTCCATTCCCCATCCCTTTCTCAAAACTTTTGAGCCCAGGAATTGGCAGCCACATCCATACTCTGTGCAGATCACTGGCCTGCTTCTTGCACAGGCCCTTGCTGGCCCCCCCAGGGCCAGCTCCTGGGGACTCGTTTTGGGGAGGGGAGGGTGAGGCTGGCTGGGGAAGCACGGGGGGCTGCCGGAGGGTCGTGCTTTACCCGGGAGCTGGAGAGCTGCGAGAGCGTCGCGTAGGTGTGCTCGCTGCTGTGCCGGCTGCTCAGCTGCCGCAGGGACTCCAGGCTGGCCGTCCCGCTGCTCAGGCCCTTTTGGCATCCAGCAGTGTGCACCAAACAGAAACAGGACAGTGGGTGACCGAGGGCTCTACCCTGGCCCGGGGCAGCGGCTCTGGGTGCCAGGATGGGAATGGTGGGGAGAAGGGGGCTCTGTGTAGGGGGGAAAAAGTGTGCCCTGGCACCAGGATCTGTCTTCAGCACATGCTGAAGGGGTTTGGTTGCACAGGAGACGGTGAGCCTGTGTGGGGTGTGCGTGTGTGTGTGTGTGTGTGTATGTGTACTCATGTCTTCCGTAGAGATCTGGTGCTCCACAGAGTGTTTATGGCAAGAAAATGAGAGTGAGGCAGCCACATGCCTACCCCAAGCTTCTTGCAGGCCTGATGCCTGTGTTGAGGGGTTGACAGAGGGGAGGACTATTTCCATGAGTGAGGCATCCTGTCTCTCCAGATCCTGCTGCACTCCCATCTGCAGCCCAGACCTGTCCCTGGGTGCCACCAGGTCCCTAATGGAGCAGTGAGTCCCTGTCACCCCTATGACACAGCAAGGAGCCTGGGTTAGAGGCTACAGGTAAGGGGAAAGCCTGTTTTTTCCCCCCTCCTCACTGTTTATTTTTCTGCATTTTTAGAGGAAGCAGAGCCTCAGGACGTCCCAGCAGGAGAAGGACAGCACCCTAAGCAAAGCCTGAAGCACCCAAGGGTGCTGTGCACTGTGCTGCAGTGCCCCAGGGTCTCTGGGGTGCCAAAGGAGCCATCTGGGGCAATGGAACACAGCTTTGCCCTGGGGGCTGCTGAGAAACTGTCCCTGCAGCCCTGGGGTGTCCCCTCAGAGGCTGAGGATGAGCAGATGTCACGAGAGAGGGGGGGACTCACCATCCTCTGCCGTCGCTGGCGGCGGCGCAGGCGCATGAACTCCTTGTGCTGGCGGGAGACAAAGTTGACGGCTGCATACTCAAGCAGGGCGGCGAAGACGAAGAGCAGGCACACGGCCATCCAGATGTCAATGGCCTTCACGTAGGACACCTGCCAGGGTGAGAAGGGGCTCAGGGACCCACTGCCCCCCACCTTGCTCATCCTCCCACTGCCAAGAAGGATGGGAGCCCTCTCAGGCCCAGCTTTTCCCAGGAAAAGGCTGGCCCTGTCCCTGGGTGGCTGCAGCAGGGGAGCCCAGCGTGCAGCCAGCACTGACCTTGGGCAGGGAGGCCCGGGAGCCGGCGCTCTGCGTGGTCATGGTGAGCACTGTGGTGATGCCCAAGCCCACCCGGGCTGGCGCCGCATCCATGTTGATCCAGAAGGAGACCCAGGAGAGGATGACAATGAGTAGGCTGGGGATGTACATCTGGATCAGGTAGTAACCCATCTGCCTCTCCAGGTGGAACTTCACCTCAATGCAGGTGAACTTGCCTGGTAAGGAAGGACGGCCCCAATGGGCAAGAGGGACCCGTGGGCCATGGTGAGGGGGTGGCAGCAGGTCCCTGGGGTGCTCACCTGTGTTGTAGTACTTGGTGCAATAGCCCAGGTCCTTCTCATCCCTGAGGATGAACTGTGGGAGTGTCAAGCCCTCTGCCACCTGCACGGCCTCCTGCTCCTCCAACCACTCGAAGATGAGGTCGTTCATAGTGTAGCCAACTGGAGGGGATGTAGGGAGCCATGGGATGGGGACATGTACCCTGTTCAACCCCACCCTGAACAACTGCCTTTTCCTGCTTATATCCCTCAGAAAAAGTGAGCTGCCAGCTCTTGGGATGGCATAGAATAGAAGGGGATGGGATGGGAAGAGGGAAATGAAGCACAGCTTGAATGCCCCGAGGTACTCACAACTCTCCAGCTGCATGGTGCATGTCTGGATGTCCATGGGGAAGTTCTTGAGGTCCATGGGGCAGGACAGGATCAGTGTCAGCCTGGAGGAGGCAGAGGAAAGGAGGAGGTTGTTTGAGCTGGGGCAGTCAGTGGGGAAAAATTGCACATGGGAGGCAAGAGGAAAGCTTTGCCTCCCCACTCAGGCACTGCACTAGAGGGGAAGGTTCTACCTAATGCTGTAGAGCACATTGCCATTCTTGAAGATGCGCAGGAGCTTGTTGTCAGTGGTGACCTCGTGGAAATTGGCCCCTTTCTCATTGGCAAAGAACAAGTCTGGCTTCCAGATGGAGTCGAGCATGGAGGGGTCGAGGTCGAGGGAGTCGTCAGGGTACTCCCGGTATGCCAGGCGGGGATCGTTCCACTGCTGCCGCAGGAACACGTTCACACGGTAGTCCTGGGACAGAGGGCACCACGTCATCTGCCAGCACCCCGTGGTGCTGGGGAGGGAGAAGGAGGAGGAGGAGGAAGGGATGGAGGAGGAGGTGGAAGGGGCTGCCTCCGTTGAGGCTCAGCCCTGCTGTTGCTGTGTGCCTGCTGCTAATAAAGCATGGAGCAGGGGCAGCTCAGGAGTTTTTCCATGCTGTTGACAGCCAGGGGAAATTAAAAAGCCAAGGCCACAGTAGCTGAGAGAAGAAGAAGGAGGTGGAAGACCAGTAACTGCTGTCTGCAGCATTCTGCACATGGATCTGTGGGCCTGTTGATAATATTAAGGCTTTTGCAAAAGCACAAATAGGAAATTTTTAGCCCTGGGACTTCCTCTGAGGTTTTCCTCATGCACCCAAGGAGGCAGGGGGCTACATCCAGCTGCCCCACTGTAACCTTTTTGAGGGGATCTTTCTTCCAGCTCAGGCACAGGGAATGTGACCCACACGGCCAAGCATGTGTTAGCTGACCCCAGAAAAGCCACAGCTATGTGCAATGGCTTTGCATGTCCCCACCATGGTGCAAGGGATGGCTCCAGAGAAGGGGTCATAGGAGCCCCTGTAAGCACAGCCATGGGCACTGGGACCCACACGCTCCCCAGCACAGCCACTGCCAGCCCCGAGGCACTGGGAGAGGAGAACCCTCCGCGCCAGCAAAACCCTCACCATGGTGGTCTCGGTGACGGAACCAAAGCTGTTGATGAAGATGTTGCACGTCACGTTGACGGGCGGACCTGGAAAAGAGCGTGAAGCCTCCTCTTGGCACCGGCTGCTGAGCCACGTGTGCTCCACGGGCACATGCGGGGACACCGGCTGGGCACACGCTGGAACACCGGCTGTGGCACACGTGGGCACACTGGCTCTGGCATGCACTGCATGGCTGAACACACAGGCGTCCCCTGCCCGCTGCAGCCACCCCCGGGGTGCGGGGCTGAACCCCAGCACGCCCTGCAGGCACCACAGCTGCCTGCGCTGTCAGGCAAAGCGAGCACACGGTGCTGGCAGGAGCAGCCGGGACTCTGGGGAGGTTGGGACAGAGGGATGTGGGTCAGGGTCCTGCCCCAAAGCCCCTGGGTTTGGGCAGCCATAAGCGTGGATCTGCCAGGTTTGGAACCCTCACATCTTCCCTCTTACCTTTGAAGTTGGGTCGAATGCGGGCGTCATACCCTGAGGTTCGTCCCATAAGCTTGTCCAGGAAATCAGAGGGTGACATGGGCTGGGGTGAGCTTCGGGAACCAGCTTTAATCTCCTCCCTCCCTGAGACCAGCCTGTGGGGCAGAGGAGGCAGGTTAGCTGCTGCCTGCTAGCACCAGGGGTCTGCAGGCACCTTTTGGCACCCCGTGGGGACACTCAGCTGCCAGGGCAGGCGGCTGTGCATGTGCTGCATCCACTCCAGTGCCAAGTCAGCATGCTGGGGAGATCCCTTCCTTCTGCTGGGATTCTGGTGGCTTTTCCCCTCACCTGCAACAGCCTGAGTGTCACATGCCCTCATTTTGCCTGTCCCTGCTCCACCACGTCCCTTGGCATGGGGCTAGGGGCCAGTGCCTCCTGGCTCCAGGGCTATGGTGGGGACAGGGCACAACCAGTGCTGGAGGGAGAAAGCAGGGAGGCTCCTTCTCAGGTTCCACCTACAGCTCCAGCCTGAGTTGCTGAGCAAACAATCCCATGCTGCCTGTCATGGACTCATGGCTTGGAGGGGCTGGGGGACACTTACAGCCCTGCCTGAGTGAGGAGATGTCCAGAGCACAGCTGGGGTCTGACAACTTGCCAGGGGCTAAGGAGATGTGGCAGGAGAGGAGCAGCAAAGCCCACCTCCACACCAGCCATGAGGATGAGCTCTCCCACACAGCGCTCTGAATGATGATGGAGATTTATTTAAACTGACTCTGGAGGGGATATTTTTGTGAATGCATCTTAGCCTGCCAACTTCTCTCCTCCCGTCAGTCTATAATGATAATTTCAAGCAACAATGTGAGAGACGTTCACTCACCACATTGCCAGGCATGTGGCTGCGATGGAGAGGAATTAGCCAGAGATCTCTGAACACAAAAGGAGCTTTGAGCATGCTGCTGATGCTGCTGCATGCTGCCTTATAACTCCACCAGGTCTATGCCCAGGTAGATCTCACTCCTGCTTGGAGCTACAACCCCATCACTACAAGAAAAGGGTGATGCTAGGAACCCAGTAGTCCCTCTTCCAACCTCTTTTCAAGGGGGTGAAATTCACCCTGGAAGGGTTTCTGTGCACCCTTACCAGCTAGAAATGGCCACAACCAAAATGTTCCAGTGGGGCAGGTTTTCCTTTAATTGGAGAAGGGCAGCAAAGAGTACCTGAGATTCATCCTGATCAAGAGCAAAAGGCTGGGGTTTTCCCTGCCAGGAGCTGCACCAGCAAGGTATGGTGCCTGTGGAGGAGGGCTGCAAGAGGCCAGGCTAACAAGGAGTTAAGTGAGGCTTCTGCCTACCACCTAGCTGTGAACCATGTCCTCCTCAGCAGGAGAGGACAGTGAGGGCTCTCCCCTGGAGCACGTGGCAGGGAGGCTCCTGGGCTCTCTTGGCAGGTAGCTCCTTGAAGAGGCTCAGATAACTGGCTGAGCCACAGCGGATCTGCAGCCTCAGTGATGCTCAGACCTGCGTGGGGGATGCCAAAATGCCCAGAGAGCAGCCACTTCCCACAGCATTCCTGGCAGGGCCATGCTGGAACGCAGCCCTGGGGCACAGCCCCTGCCTGCAGCTCCCCACTTGAGGCACTGCCTGCCCTGGGGCCTCTGCCCCGACCCTGGGCTGGGCACCGCAGGGCCCTGGAGCTCAGCACCTCTGTGGAGCGAGTGGATGGTAGGGTTGGAAAATGCTGATGTCTGCCTAAAAACACTGCCTTGAGACAAGCAGTTTCTACATATGAAGCAATTCTGTTTTACTCCTCCCTGCCATAAATGTTGCAAATCCCCCCATGCTGCTCCAGCCATAGTGGTCAGGTGGTCTGTACTCAGCCCAGGAGTCCTGCAGCCTCTAAACCCTCCCTTCCTGACCCACTCTCCCCTGCATCCCACCTTGTCCCAGATAACACCCGAGGTGGACAGAGATGGAAAAGGGACCTGAGGGCTTTAGATTTTCCAGCCAAGTGGGCCAAATGTTGTTCCTTCACCCATGGGACCTGGGGCACCCCCGCACTGTCCTGAGTGATCCAGGGTCTGGGTCAGGGACTGTCCTGAGCTCTCCTCCCCCCAAACACCATGAGCCAGGAGAGGATGTGGACATCTCAGGGGCTTTGCAGCACCAGAGAAGGAGCTGTCTGGGCTATCACCTGGCTCAGCTCACCCTTTTTCCCATGGTGGCAAGACTCTCCTGCTGGCCCGGGGCCAGGGGAACCCTCAGGGGCTGCTGGGGATAGGCAGGGTCTGGCTGTGTGCCGTGGGGGACTGCAGGGGGAAGGTCTGCTGGGTCTCCCGGGGTGCCGGGGTCAGGGTCCTGGGGAATGGGGAGCAAGGCCAGATTGGCAGGAGGTCCAGATAGGAGCTGGGAGCGTTCTGTCAGGGGTATCAGGCCCCGGAGACAGGTCCGGATTGGGGGTCGGGATAAGGATTCCGGGACTCGTCCTGTCTGAAAGGGGATGCCCAGGTCCCGCAGGAGAGATCTGTCTCCGAGAGGGGGTGATACCCGGGTGCCGGAGGAGAATCGCGGCTCCCGGGGGATGGGGTCCAGGTGCCGGGGGAGCGGCTCGGAGAGCAGCGGTCCCGCAGCCCCGCGCAGCACCGAGCACCCGCGCCGTGCGCTCACCTGAGCGGGCCGCGCCGGGGCAGGAGGCAGCCGAGGAGGAGGAGGAGGAGGAAGGCGAGGGCACCGGCCCGGAGCGCGCCCATCCCGCCGCAGCCCGCAGCCCCGCCGCCCCGGGCGCACGGGCATGACCCGGCCGGCGGCGGCGGCGTCCCCGCTCCCGCTCCCGCCGCACCGGGGCCGCTGCCGCCGCCGCTGCCGCCGCCGCCCCCCGCCCGGTCCCGCTCCTCATAGTCCGGGCGCCCGCCGCGGGGTGGGCGCCGTCCGGCTGCGGGCCCCGGGAGCCGGGCGGAGCTTCACCCGCCGCGGTGGGGAGGAGGCGGGCACGGCGGTGGGGGGCTCCCGTGCCCGTGCCCGCCTCCTCCCCGTCCCCTCGGGGCCCTCTGCCGCCCGGCCCGGGCTGTCCCGGAACCCCGCGTCCCCCGTGGGGGCTCCTGGGCGGGGGGAGGGAGCGAGCCCTGTGGGGTTTGGGAGGGTCTCGGGGCGCACCGGGGTCTCGGGATGCGCCGGGGTTGGGGAATGTGGCAGCGCTGATGGCTGTGCGAGGGATGCTCGGAGGACGAGAACCGTACCGGGATCGGAGAATGTGCGGGGCTGAGGGATGTGCAGGGATCGAGGGCTGGGCAGGGGCTGAGAGGTGTCCCAGGGGAACTGCCCGTCGGATGGGGGGAGCGCCTGGGGTAAATCGGGCTCCTAAACCCTTCTGCCTGGCCTTGGGGCCGCAGCTCAGGTCTCTTCTGCTGGGACCCCTGCGTTTGCCTTTCCCAGAGGCTCAGCGGATGGACAAGACTGTCCTGGGTGGGCTCCCCGGAGAACACAAGATGGACAGTCATGCCTGCGTGATGCGGGAGCTGCAGCGGCTGCCAGGGAGAGGGAAACCAAGGCAGAGGGAGGGGAGCTGCCTCTAAACCAAGGCAGGGCTGGGACTCGGGCTGCTCGGTTGCCTTTGCCCTGTCCCCTGAGGCCACCCGGCCAAGCCGCAGAGTCGCCTCTGGTCCAAGGCAATCTGTGATTAATTTGCAAGGAAGTAAATAGTATTTTAAAAAAATTAAAGTGCAGAATAAATTATTCCTGGCAGATATGTCAGTCAGGTTTCTGTTCACTCTACTGTGGCTGGCTTATCTCATGTATTTGTATTAACTGCAGTCTGGGAGCTGCTGTACAAAGCATTGCTGCCGGGGTCCACAGAGGAAGATCTCAGCAGAGAAGGAGAGCGCGATGCCCCCTGTGACTGCTCTCTCCAGGGCAAGTGAGGGGCTGCTCAGGACTTTGAGAGGTCCCCAATGGATCTGCTGTGGGAAGGCAGTGAGAGGGAGGGAGGCTGGCTGTGTGAAGCCGAGCCCCGGGTGCCTGGTCCAGCGCAGGGCAGAGGGGGCTGGAGGCGGTATCCAGCTCGAGGCAGCGTGCAGGAGTCCTCATCCCCGCTCATCGGCTCTCCCAGCACCAGGAGCTGGGACAAGTCTCCTCTGATTACCGTTGCCATTAATGTTTACGGCTCCACAGTGCTGAGAGGCGCAAGGCACAATGCAGAGCCCCGGGGAGCAGAGCAAACACACACTGTGTGACAGCTTCTCTTCCCGACACTGTCCGAGCTAAGCGGACCTGACACTGCTGGGAGGAGGGGAGCCAGTGCATCCTCTCTGCTCTCTGGGGGAAACTGAGGCACTGGCATGATGTCCCTGCATCAGCTGAAGGGCTGAGGATGGTCAGAGTGGCTGTGGGGCCAGCCTGTCAGGTGGCCATGAGCATGGGAGCTCAAGATAACCAGCTACAAGCCATGAGTGCACATGCTGTGGTCAGCAGGGCGCTGGGACCGAGCTAACAAGGCTCTTGGAGAGGCTGGTGAAGCCAAAGTGGCTCCCTGATGGGCCAGCACTGGGGGGGATGTTGCAGCCACAGCCTTCCTGCCCGCCTTGCAGCTCTGCAGGCAGCCAGCACTGTGCTGAAAATAAGCTCTGAAAAAATGAAGGCAGCGAGCATCCCACCAGGAGGGCGAAGGCAGTGCTGATTTGTTGCTGGCTGGGTCGGGGGGATGGAGCAGGAGCTACAGAACCAGAGCCCCAGCAGTGCCCAGGGAATCCCAGGATGGTGCCTCATCCTGCCCAGGGGATTTTTGGGAGCGACACGAATAGGTTTATCCCCCATGTCCCTCAAATCAAAGCTTGAGGTGGTTCTTCTGTAAATAGTCAAGATTCCAGCCAGCAGGCAGCTGTCAGCGTTGGGCTCCTGGAGACAAGCATCCACCACCAGGCTGCCCTGAGGCTGCTCTCCCCAGAGGCAGCAAGACTAGGCAGGAGCAGGGGACAAAGACCACGCTCTGGTCCAGTGGCTGCCAGCCTGTGCAGCCCCCGGGGGGATCCCCACGTCCCTGCCCCAAAGCTGTCCCTGTCACCATGCCAGGCTCTGCTAATATGAGAAATGCAGGCAACAGAGACTGGGTTTCCTCAGATGGGGAGAAATGTGGGATATCTTTTTT